CTTATCTTAACAATCTGTGTATGATCTCACATCCACCTTAACATCCTCATTTTTGCTACTCTCATTTTATGTTTATGTTTCCTGTAATGCCTGACCGCTTCAAGAATCAGTGACTATCCCCGCATACTAACACGAGACTTTTTAGTGTGCTTTTTTCTCACTCGCACACTTCCCGGGAAAACTTCTCAGGAGGTCACCCATCCCTGAATTGCTCTAAGTCAAACACGTTTAACTGTGGAGTTCTTCCGATCCGGGCTATCGAAAAGCAGATGCGTCTTGTTAGTATAGGTAGTACCAATTAATTCTTATAAGCTATCCAAAACAGTGCAGTCTCATACCTGCACAGTCTTTGTAATCCATCTCTTTCGGGTATCGATTCGATTCATTCAAGCATGTAACCCCCCGCTGGAAGCTTGTCAGGAGCCGCTCCTTGTCTGTGCCTCTTTGCACCTGCGATCACTCCCCGCCCTCGTCAGCGCTAGGGATGTTACATGCCCACCAGCTTCCACCTGGTTCGTCCTCGAACCATACCGTACTAGAAGAGAGGCCCTGCTCTGATACCACTTGTAATGCCCGGCCGCTTCCAGAATCAATGACTATCTCCATATACTAACACGAGATATTTCAGTGTGCTTTTTTCTCACTCGCACACTTCTCGGGAAAACCTAACAGGAGATCACTCATCCCAAAATTGCTCCAAGTCAAGCACGCTTAACTGTGGAGTTCTTCCGATCCGGGCTATCGAAAAGCAGACGTGTCTTGTTAGTATAGGTAGTACCAATTAATTCTTATAAGCTATCCCAAACAGTGCAGTCTCATACCTGCACAGTCTTTGGAATCCATCTCTTTCGGGTATCGATTCGATTTATTCAAGCATGTAACCCCCCGCTGGAAGCTTGGTAGGAGCCGCTCCTTGTCTGTGCCTCTTTGCACCGGCGATCACTCCCCGCCCTCGTCAGCGCTAGGGATGATACATGCCCACCAGCTTCCGCCTGGTTCGTCTTCGAACCACACCGTACTGGAAGATAGGCCCTGCTCTGATACCACTTGTAACGCCCTGCCGCTTCAAGAATCAATGACTATCTCCACATACTAACACTAGACATTTCAGTGTGCTTTTTCCTCACTCGCACACTTCTCGGGAAAACCTAACAGGAGATCACTCATCCCAGAATTGCTCCAAGTCAAGCACGCTTAATTGTGGAGTTCTTCCGATCCGGGCTATCAAAAAATAGATGCATCTTGTTAGTATAGGTAGTACCAATTAATTCTTTCAAGTTATCCTAAACAGTGCAGTCTCATACCTGCACAGTCTTTGGAATCCCTCTCTTTTGAGTGTCGATTCTATTCATTCATGCATGTAACCCCCCGCTGGAAGCTTGTCAGGAGCCGCTCCTTGTCCGTGCCTCTTTGCACCGGCGATCACTTTCCTCCCTCGTCAGCGCTAGGGATGTTACATTCCCTATGTCTTGTTCAACATTCAACTCCAAATAACATTGCAGACTTTTCTGTTGTTCTATATAATTTTCCTTTTAGCCTAAGGAAAATTTTGTGGTTACACAAAAATCTTGATGCACTACGCCATTTACATCTTCACCAATCTCTCCACTTTTTTGCAAAATTAATCGCATATGTTTGAAAGCGTCTATCTTTCTTTAGTTCATCTTGTCTAAGTAGATAATCTTGATCTCAATCTCTTGTAGGAGCAAACTCGCGCTTCATATATTCTGTCTTGCTCCGGCTTAGCGTAAATTCTTTATGCTCCAAGAGCTTCTCCACAATTATATTTTGTGTTAACACCAGATTTGGTCTCATCAATAAACACAATATCATCTGCAAAAAGCATACACATTGTCACTTCCTCCTGGATATTTTTTATTAGTTCATCCATAACTAGAGCAAAGAAATAAGGACTTAGAGTAGAGCCTTGGTATACACCTATCGTGCTAGGAAAATAACTTGATGTTCCATTACAAGCTTTCACATATATAGGAGCACCATCATACATATCCTTGAATTCCTCTATATACTTCGATGATACTTTTTCTTCTAAAAAACCCACCATAGAACCTTTATTGGAACCTTATCATATGCCTTTTCAAGATCTATAAACACCATATATGTAAGTCCTTCTTTTTTTTTCGATATCTTTTCATTAATTGTCGTATCAAGAAAATGGCCTCCACGGTATATCATATTGTCTCATATAAACCTAAATTGATATACAGAGACCTTGGTCTGTCTCCTCAAGTAATGTTCAATAACTCTTTCCCACAATTTCAAATATGCCTAATAAGCTTAATGTCTTTATAGTTAGAGGAATTCTGGATATCTCCCTTATTTTTGTAAATATGCACAAACATATTTTTCCTCCATACTTCGTACATCTTATTTGTTTAGAGAATCTTACTGAAAAGATTTGTCAACTAATTTATCGTCATATCCCATGTCTCTCCACATTTCAATATGGACACCATCGAGTCCCAAAGCTTTACTAGTCTTCATATACGTTCAAGTCTCCTTAACTTTATATGCTTTGATTGTATGAACAAATCTTCTGTTCAAAATATCATAAGCGTCCTTCAAATTCATCTCGTTTTTATTGTTATTCCCATTAAAAAGCTTCTTAAAGTAGTTCATCTACCTTTCTTTTACTTTTGTATCGTATACGAAAAGTTTTTTATTTTCATCATTGATGCATCTAACTTGGGTCAAGTCTTTAATTTTCTTATTCCTTATCTTTGCAAGTTTATATATATCTTTTTGATCACCCTTGCTTCTAAGATTTTTATACAAATCGAAAAAAACCTTACCTTTAATTTTTCACGTTGCTTTCTTAGCATTTTTTCTTGTCAATCTAAACTTCTACAAGTTCATAATATTTATGCAAACATCTAAAACAATCATTCTTCTAGTTAATTGCCTCATGCACCTCTCCTTATAAATTATTTAAAAAAATTACATAAAAAACCAAAATATTGTTTATGACTTATATATGTCTTTTTTAAATTTTTTGTCAATACAATTAATAAAAAATATTTTGTACTCATAATGGGATTGAGGGATTGATACTTAAAAAGGAAAAAATATTTCTCCCGCCACTTGATATAAGCTTATCTCCAGCCATTACTTATAACTATGTATTAAGGGTTGTATAACTTATAATGTTAAAGTTATTTTTTCTCTCTCTTCAATCACTTTTCAAAACTTGTTTGCTGACGTGGAGGAAGAGAAAAAAATAACTTTAATATTATAACTATATATTATCCTTAAGGGGAAGGTTATACTTACAACCTATTTTCGTTTACAACCTTATCTTAACCGTTGATTTTCGTCAATCAACGGTTAAGATTTTTGTAAATTAAATTTATTAATTAATTATTAATTCGCAATAAATAATAACCGTTAATTGACGGAAATCAACGTTTAAGATATGGTTGTAAACAAAAATAAGTTATAAATATAACATTCTCCTATCCTTAATACATAGTTATAAGGATTGAGTTGAGATAAGCTTATTAAATGGTTGGAGAAATGTTAACTCCTACATAAAATCATGATACTAATATGAGAATGCGTTAAAATAAATAATAAGGAAAGCATGATTATTGATTTACTAGAAGATTGAGATAAATGTACTCATTTTAGGTGAGAAGATATATTCTCATTGGATTGTAAGGGGGAGAGACTTATCATTTATGTGCCATCGCTTTGCCCAAAATGGTATGAAAAAGATACTTGTGATTTGGACCCATCATCAAACTCATTTGATGAACAGCCTTAAAACCTATGAATGGGGGAGTGAAATATTTAAACAAAAGGGTAGAGAAATCTTTCTCTCTTTTCTTATTTAAACAAAAGACTAATGTCATTGAAATAGCAACGATGTTTCTCATGAAATAAAATATTAATCTAATAGAAAAAAAGTATTAAATTATAATTTTTTTAATAGTTTCTCCTTGCGCATAAGTGTTGGGTCTTAGATTCTTCGCTGAGCAAAGCGGGAAAAGTGTTGTTTATCTGTCGCATTCACATTAGAGTCACAAATCAGATACAATTCCAAGAAAAAAGAAAAGCAAAGAGCAAACTCTCCCTCTATAGTCTATACTCTATAGGCTCTTACCCATTTTTACTCTCAACTTTTCCAAAGAGTTTCTATTTCGTCTTGTCCTCAACCATTGCTTAAATAAGCAGGTCACATTAATTCTGTTTCACTGTTTAAGCATTATATAAGCCACCACCCTCAACTGGGTTTCACTCACATTCTTCTAAGTACACCACCTCATCTTCCATTTCATGGCCAGCTAGTGAGCTTCATTGTCATTTGCTTTGTACACAATTTTTTGGTTTTTTTTTTTTCTTTTATTTTTTATTTTTTGGGTACATTTGATTATATATTTGTGGGGAATATAAGCAGGTTGATGTATTTGCTTTTTGATGTTGTGACCTGAACTTGATATTCATATCTGGAAACGAATGCTAGTTTGTGGAATCTCACTGCACACTTCATTTTCTGGGCTAAGAGTAGACTATAATGTTTTGTGGTCTAGTTTTATTGAATTAATTAAGCTTTCTGGCACAAAATAGATGAAATAGTTCGCAAATTTTAAGATTGTGATGAGGATTTAAAATATTTCATCTTCCTTTGCCAACCAAAAAAAAAAATAAACAGTCTTGTAATAATGTGTCGATTAAATTCTTACATTATTGTCCATAATTTTATTTCCATGTTCTGTGATTCCTTTCTTTTTCTGCATATCTGTCAATACAAGATAAGGGGTTTACATAAATATACGTTGTTATTGTTTTCTAGCTAGGATATTTTAATTTGGCTTTTGTTTTTCTTTTGGGCCAAAATAATGTGTCTTTTTTTGGTAATTAAAATAATGTCTCTTTATGTGAGTTAGTTATATGCCTTATTGATGACTTTACATAAGGTAACCTGTTTTCCTTGTTTTCCATGCCTAGGTTTATCGTTTTCTTTGGGTTGGATTTTGCTAATGGAGAGCACAAGAATCAGCCAATGGTTAAATCTTCTAGTAAGTGTACTGCTATTTCTAAAGGCAGAAGGGCTTTTTGTTCCAATCACTTATCTCGAGAATGCAGAATCAAAAGGAGCTGGTGAGGAATTTTTGCTGTTTTTGATCATAGGGAACTTTGATAATTCTGTTCTTCATCTCCAGCTTTACTATTTTTGATAATGTTTATATAATAGTTGAGAAATTTAACATCTTGTGTAGTTTGTTTGGATGGCACTCCCCCAGCTTACCACTTTGATAAGGGATTTGAAGAAGGGGTTAACAACTGGATAGTTCACATTGAGGTATGTCCCTTTCAGCAAACTAGCATCAATAATAAGTCTTTACTAACTTAAGAAAAAATTCCTTTAATTTTCTTATTAATTTTCTTATATGTTTCTTCTATGTGAATGAGTACAACTATTGCTTTGTTATCCTGCCAATTGCATGGGAGCATGAATTTTTATTTTTTTATATTTGGATTTCGTTTTTTGAGAGGGTGAGTCTTGGAGCAGTCATAGGGTTACTCCTTGTAACCGAAAAGTTATAGTTCGAGTCTTGAAAACAGCTTCTTTGTAAAAATACAGGAATAAGACTAAGTACAGTCCACCTTTACCTCTACCTTCACAAGTTAGAAAGCTTTGTGTACTGGGATTTATCCTTTTTGCCCTTTTAGATTTGGATTTCATCTGTTAATTCTTGAATGTCAAATTTCATAAATTGGCTTTTTTTTTTTTTGTTTTTTGTTTTTGACAAATCATTGAAAGTTCTCTCTTCTTGGTAATGATCTTCAATTTATTTTAGGGAGGAGGATGGTGCAACGATGTTGCTAGTTGCCTTTTCCGTAAGGACACTCGTTTAGGCTCATCTAACCACATGGGTGACCAAGTTGCCTTTTCTGGATATTTAAGTAACGACCAACAGTTTAATCCAGGTATTCTCTACCAGTCAAAATATATATAGTTTCACCTTATTTTTGACCCATCATTTTCCCTTAGTTTTCTCACAAATTTTATAAATTCCAGATTTCTACAATTGGAACAGAATCATGGTAAGGTACTGTGATGGGTCATCATTTACTGGTGATGTGGAAGCAGTTGATCCAGTAAGTTTTGTAATATTCAAAGGAATTTGAAATTTAAAATTCAAACAAAATATTAACCATTGGTAAAATTTACTTTCAGATAACCAATTTGCACTTCAGAGGAGCAAGGATTTTTGTGTCTGTAGTAGAGGATTTACTATCAAAAGGAATGGAAAATGCTGAAAATGTACTAGACATTGATTTGTCACTTTTTTTTCCTTGTCGTGAGTGATTTTTTTCATTGAATAACTGAATCTTGTTTATACAGGCTATTCTATCTGGATGTTCAGCTGGAGGATTAACTACTATATTACATTGTGATCGTTTTAAAGCTCTATTACCTGCGAGAGCTAAAGTGAAATGCCTTTCAGATGCTGGTTATTTTATCAATGCGTATGCTCCTTTTATTTACTTTCTACTTAGCCTTTTTCCTTTTTTTAGAGTTCCTTAGATCATTTAATGATTTAATATGTTTTTGTTGTACAACAGAAATGATATCTCAGGAGCACAACACATTGAAGAGTACTTCACTCAAGTTGTTGAAACACATGTACTTAGTCCTTTTTCTTTGATTATTTTCACCTTTAGGAAATCACTTGCATATACTAAAGTTTTCTCACTCTTCGTTTGAAAAGTACTTTCTGAAGCTTTCATTCAACAGAGACTGATTTATTTTTCTTTATTATTTTAGGGCTCAGCAAAGAATCTGCCTTCATCCTGCACTTCAAGACTCAGTCCAGGGCTGGTAAGTTTGTGACTTGTAATTTTATCTTCTAGCTTTGCAACTTCTTTTGTATTACTAATACTTGTGAACAATTGTGTAGTGCTTTTTCCCACAATATGTGGCATCACAAATCACTACACCAATCTTCTTTGTAAATGCAGCCTATGACTCATGGCAGGTCAGATTATTTTGTTGCTCAAGAAGCATCAGTTTGTTTTCAGAATGTTGTTGCTTTGGAATATATTGGTCATTCTAGTAACTTTTTAAACCATGTTTGTTTATATTCTTTGATCAATTGGGGGGGGGGGGGGGGGGGGGGGGGGGTCATTTAAAAGATAAAGTAATATTGAATAGCATCAGGGTTTTAAATTGTGTGTTGTGGTTACAAAATCATATGCTAAAAGCCTAAAAGATCAGATATTGAGCCATGATTTATTTACTCTGCATAACTTTTCATCTAGTATTTCCTGTTTCACTTTGAACTTTCTGTTTTAAAAAGAGAACTCTGTAAAATGTAAATGCCTGAAGGTGCAATCATACTTTCACCCCAATAAGATGTTGTTTTTATTTGATGTTTAAACCACTTATTGCTCTCAATAAGTGGTGACACATCCTTCTAATCTTTTCTCTGATCCTCAAGATATTCCTTTTATTCAGATTAGGAACATTTTGGCACCGGGTGATGCTGATCCACATGGCCTTTGGCAAACCTGCAAGCTTAATATAAACAACTGTTCCCCTGATCAACTAAATATAATGGAAGGTGAACGTTTTCTAATCTTAATAACTTGTGTACCATTGAAATTTGTTGATACCTCAAGGAATTTTGCTAAGCTTCTAAAATTCACTTTCATGCGTGAGAGATTTTCAGGCTTCAGAATGGAATTCATAAAGGCATTGAGTGTGCTAGGCAACTCTTCAACCAAAGGAATGTTTATAGACTCTTGCTATGCCCATTGCCAAACCGAAATACAGGAGACATGGTTCGGAAGTGGCTCTCCACAGCTTGCCAATACAGTAAGAGATTGCATTCTTTCTTCTTTTTATGAGTGGTTTTGTGTTTCCTTTGATTATTATTGTTGGAAATATTTAAGAGTGAGTAGTAGTGAAATCTCACGTTGGTTCGTAATGAATCAAGCGAGGATCATATAAGTACGAAATAAACCTACAAACTTAAGATTTTGAGTTGGAATGTAGTGTTTTGCAAAGTATTTTGTTTCCCTTTGTATCCAATTGAAAAGATAACTTGTGTGCATGACATTTTGCAGACCATTGCAAAGGCAGTTGGAGACTGGTTTTATGAACGAAATCCTTTCCAACAGATTGATTGCACATACCCTTGCAACCCTACTTGTCGTAACCGTGTTTTTGATCCATAAGGCCATCAAGGAGTACATATTTGTTTAATCAATATTATCATTGTTATAAACCATACTTATTGGATAACTGATTATTGAATGAGAAAATGTGATATATAATGTATAAATCTAGCAAAATAAGAAAAGGCCGCCATTGTAATGAGCTTCTGTGTTGGGCGCCCTCAATCATTGTTTAATGTCACAATTGCTATACCATTAATAAAATAATATATTATTTGTTATTACTAGTTGATCTATCTACTCTCTCTTTTTTTTTTTTGTGGTAAATTGATGTATATACTTTACTAATGCGGTAAATCAACTATTCCAAAAAATTAAATTGTTAAATAAAGAACTTAAAATAATTGCGTATTGACAAGTAGGACAGAACTTATAAAGGGAGAACTAGAAAGACATGATGTAAAAGAAAAGAAAAGAAAGATCGTTCAAGGCTTCTCCTATGTAGAAATGCCAAAAAAAAAAAAAAAAAAAAAAAAAAAAAAAAAAAAAAATTGAAGTGAATTATGAATTGAACTATACCTAAATAATTGATTTTTTAAAATAAGTTTTTGAATTGATTTTTAAAAAATTTATTTCTTAAACTGAATTTTTTTTCAGAAACCAATTCTTAAACTGAGCTATTTTATGAACCGAATTAGTTTTCAAAACAAGTTTAAGAACTCAATTGATTTAAAAAACTATGAACCAAATTACTTTTATTTCTTCTTCTCTGTATTTTTCTTCCTTATCTATTTTGTTTATTCTTTTATTTTATTTTTATCACTTTATTTCTTTAGTTTTTTCTTTTATTTTCTTTTCTTTTTTCTCTTATGTATTTTTCTCTCTTATTTTTATTTTATTTTATTTTTCAAAAAAAATTTATTGCTGTTTTTTCAAATTCGTGATATTATTTATATTTATACTTTTTTTTTAGTTTTTTCATATTTTTCATATTGTTTCAGAACTAGTTCAAAAATTAGTTTTACGGGTGGGCAAAAGAACCACAAAAAACTCCACAATAAATTTTTTTTTAAAAAATCAATTCATGAATTGAACTATTCTTAAAAATTAGTTCTTGAACTGAAATCTGTTCACCAATTGAACCGGTTTTTTCTCTTCTTTTCATTTATTTTTCTTTTTTCCTCTCGATTTTTCTTCTCTTATTTATATCTTCTTTTTTATTTCTTTTTTCTCTTATATATTTTTATATTTTATTTTTTATTTTTAAATATTTGTTCTTTTTAATTTTTAGTATCATTTATATATATTTTTTAATTTTTAATTTTTTTTCTTCAATCTTTTTGTAATTATTATTTGAAATCAAAATTGATTGTAAAATCAGTTCAGAATTAAACTAAATTAATAAACCAATTCAATTTTAAGAACTAGAATTTTTTCTAATTTAGTTCGGTTCGTCAAAGAAACCGAACTGAATTGAACCATGTACATCACTTCTCCTATGATCTTTTTATCTTTGAATAACATTATCCTCACATGAAAAAGAAGATCATGACCATTCTCATGCACCTCTTTTGGCTTGCTGAAATGATATTGTTTTTGTTCAACAAGGCCTCAATATTAGAAGTTCACTTTGTTAGACAAATGGCTTCAATACTCAAGAGGGGGGATGAATTGAGTTTTATAAAATCTTTTCGCAGAACACCTCTTTGATATTTTAAAGAATATTTCTTCAATCAATTGATTTAACAGGGATAATTAGTGTGTGAACAATAAATATAAGCTAATGAACAAATAAAAATAATCTAATAATGCAATTTCAAGATAAATGTAAAGAGTTCAAGTTAGAGAAATTACAAACTAGATGTATTTTAGTTTGGTCACCACCAGCGCGACCTACATTTTGACTAAAGTCGCTCGATCAATCTTTTTAACTAGCTATCAAGCTTCAAGGGTGCTTGACAAACCACCATGATTTTTTCAAGACTTTGAGCTCTTGGATGCCTTTACACTTTACTCAAAATTTACTTAGAAATTTGGTAACCTTTCAAATACAAAGGGTTTCATTACCCTCACAATTTCAGAATTCAAATGGAAGTGTTTTAGAGTGGCTAAGTGTAATAGCCAGTTGCGCACTGATATGTTATCATTACATATGATATTAAGCGCAGTTACAGTAATAGTAGTTGAGTTAAAATACGGTAAATTTTTTTCCTTTTTAATAACGTTTTCAATTATAACAAGCCGTATTTGACAAAATCCAAAACTATAATCATAACTCATACATCGTTGTGAAATATTTAAAAGTACAACATACATGCCTTATATTTTTTATTTAATTGATGTTATATGATTCTTATAAACCAACAAAACCGATTTCGGAATTCTACATTTTTCAACAGCACTACCCTCGGTTTTACTCAAACTTGGAGAAGACGACATGTCCATGATTTTTTTTTATCTTTTATTATGTTAAACTAGACTCTCCAAGCTTTCCAACATGGTATAATAAGCCTAATTTAGAGTTGTATAGGTCAAGATATGCTCACCGTAAGGTAATTGTTCAAAATTGTCAACAAACAGCAAATAGGGGATCTGGGTATCTTCACTGTATTTGAAGCTAAGGGAGTTATACTAACCAGTTTTCTCTCAAATTTAAATTTATAGTTGACACCTAGACCTTTAATTTGATATATCACAAGCCTTAATTGGATAAGGAAAGAGTGAGATATCGAATTTCAAAAGTCGGAGGCAATAGCTAAATCCAGTTTTACAGTTTCGGGCAGCCTTCACTTATTTTGAATATGGGAATGATATACTACTCAGAAGTGTCTGAAATTTTAGGACAATGCAGAGGATATCCTAAGCTTCAAAATAGTACCTCACAAGCCTCATTTGATTAAGAATCGAGTGAGATATGGCTCTCTAATGTCAGAGGTAATTTCATTATGTTTTCTATAAAATTGGCCAGCATTTACTTTGTTTCTACAACTAATTTCATTTCTTGCAATGGTACCTAACTTAACATGGAATTACATCCAAAGGTTGAACATACCTAGGTGCACTTATATCCTTCATCACAAGTTACATTATGATCATTACTTAGGACTCAAGTCATTATCCACCAATTTACTTGTATCATAAGTCATATGCTTTCAACACTTATAAACTTTGCATTAACCACTTCATACACATTTTTCCATCATAGGCATTTCCCAATTTAGATTTCAAAATCAAAATACCACATCAAGTAACCAAATAGGCATGAGCCCTTCCATCATACACATATTATTAATTACATGTCCAAGGTCCACAAAGTAGTCATAGTTATAATTTCATTAACTATCCCAAAATATAACTATTACATAATTGACATAATTACATCATAACATCAACAAAAATCCAAATTACAAAGAACTAAGATTCCTCAACAACTTGGACTTGGACAAAATGATATATGAACCAAACCCAATCATGATATGACTCGAAAAAAACAACATAATGAGGTTCATGCACTAAGTCCCATATATACCAAAATACATCAACATTCTCCAAAATGCAAAATGACATAAAACACTCCAATGGCCGAACCAAACCCTATGTAGGCTTCTAGCCCGAGGCTCCTCCAACATCACTGATGTGCCTCTGGCATGTGATGTTTTTCAAGCAAAAAATAATAAGAATTTAGTTATAAAAGAGCATTTTATGTATATTAATTGTTTTTATTATTTAGTTTTTCCATTTTAGTTCATTTCTCATTTTTTTTTATAATTTTTACAGGTAAAAGCATGAAGAAATAAGAAATTAGAAAAAGTTGAAAAAGAAGTTGGCGCTACCCGCGCGGAAGTTGGCGCTACCCGCGTGGGTATGCATTGCAGTATTGTTTCTAGAGAGTTGGTGCGGGTGCAGCGCCAACTTTGCGCGACCCGCGCGAACTACAGCGGGGAGTCAATTTCTGAACGTAAAAAGGACGTTGCGAGGAAGGAAATTAGGGGGGAATTAGATGACGACAGAAGCACAAGGATTCCAAAAGGGGGAAATAGCATAGGATCTTTCTTCGTTTCTCATCGTAATTTTATTTTGAATTCTCTTTTATAATTGTATGTCAGCTATGTCTATGACTGGCTAATTTTCTTTATTGTAGTTAGGATCACAAACCCTATGTGAACCCTTTTTGCGATGGATTGATTTATTTTCGCTCGTTTATTTTTATATATTTTATTTTTACCCTGTGCGTATTGTTTATTATTTCTATTAAACTTGATCAACCTAATAGGAGATAATAATTTTGGAATTAGGATTCGCAATAGGAATATTGGGGTTTTGATTCTGAAAAGGGGTAAAGTAACAATTTATGCATGCTCTAGGGATAGACTTGTGTGGATAGCAGTCGTTTAAATTATTGTGGTTAATGCTTAATTTTATGTGGGATTGCTAAGAAATTAGGGTTCCAATTGGATTAAAGGGTTAGATTACCAAGGGATTGAGATTTAACTAATTATGTTAAGATGATAATTTGTCTGAGTTATTAAAATTAATGAACATTTTTAATCAATCCAAAGTTTAAAGTGGGGATCATATGGTGCGTGTATCTTAGCTGCAATGTCTTTTATTATTCTCTCAAAAATCCAAATTTTACCATTGTTTATTAAATTGAAAATTCTATTTTAAGTTTTTATCTTTATTTTACCGTCAATTCACTTTTTTCCAAAAACAACCGAGCTTTCCAACGTTGGTTTACAATCCCTGTGGAGACGATACTCTACTTACTCATTATATTACTTGTGCGATCGGTACACTTGCCGGTTCAAGAGAGAAGAGTAGTGACAAAGTTGGAGAACAATAATGCTATGCTTGCTGAACAAAAGCTGTTGTCCAAGAAGTTTGATAGTCTCAATGAAAAGTTTGAGAAACTGCGAGTGCCCAATGTTCAATCAACTTCAGCGGTTTGTGAATATTGTAGAGAAGCTCATGAGTCTAATAAGTGCCCTACTCTAATGGGTGCTAATCCACAGCAAGTGCAAATGAATGGGGTTTGGTATGAACAGAAACCCCAAATTTTC